TAACATTCTTTATGGGAATGTAATATTAAGAAACATTCGATTATTCAACATAAATTATTTATTTTTGTATTTAAATGATTGAATTCTTGTAAAATTTTCTAATAAAAATTGATTTAAAAGTGAATTTCAGTTAAAATTTTACATAATCATTGAATATTAAAAGCATTATAGTGTGAATTTTTATAAACAATTGAATTTTGAAAAAGTTTCTAATTAAAATCTTTGAAAATCTAAATTTGTCATATTTTTAACTAACAATTCTGTAGAATTAATTTTTCAAAAAGTTTAATTGAAATTATTCCAAGTTTTTATTTTCAAATATATATATTTAATTGAAGAATTTCCGAATAATCGATGAAATTTCGTAAAATTGAATTGTAGATAAATAGATTTGAAAATTCTCAGAATTTTTTAAAAAATTATTGTAAATAATTGATTAAAAGATGAATTTTAGTTAAAAATTCTAGAAAATAATAGTTGAATTGAAATGATGAAAATAATTTTGAAGAAGTTGCAGGAAAAATATTTCTTATAGAAGAAAATAATGATCTTATCATTCGGTCATCTTTAATTATTATAAAACATGAATGATCGCTTTCTTCATGTTTTATAATAATATTCTCATAAATTGTTGAATTTCAAAAAGATTTGAATTTAAATGTTTTGAAAATCTTTAAGTTCCATAGAAAAATAATAATGATTAAATATTTTTTTAAAAAAGAAGTTATTACTGTTTTCGAATAATTTTACAGTTAAAGAAATTCGTAAATATTCTTTAGGGAAAAAGGCAACATTTTGTCTTGAAATTAAGGAAAAGTCAAGGAAAAACAAAATTAAATTTTTGTGGAAACTCTGATTAAAATCGAATCATCTTTAAAAAATGTTATGGAAACTATTTGATAAAAAATTTGAATTATATATATATGCAAGTTGTATAAACAAATAAATTTTTATCCCCTTTTTGAGAAAAAAAGGTACTGTGATGCCTGAATTAATTATTTAGTATTAAATTATTTAACATTTTCCATACGATTTAGAAATTTTTTTTTTAATTTTATTTTTACAATTTGCGTCACTTTATTTTCCAGACGAATGAATTCTGAAATTAGCGATTCCCTGCGTGACGGGGCAAGTCTCGTGTTATCTAAATCTTTAAAATTCTTGAGAACCACTGCGACTGCCCACACGAAATATTATTATATACACAATGCGATGACTTGAACCGTCTTGAACGATGCTTGAGTAAAATTGCGACAATTTAGATTACAGTTGTTGATTAGGTTTTATACAGTGAGTAGCGCCACTCGTCGGTAAGGTCTTTCGGGTTGACAGACGAATTTAATAAAGCGTATTCCCCCTTTGGAAATTTCATATTTATCAACTCGAACTTCCGTTAAACAAAACAACAACGAAATTTCTCCACTGCATTTTTGCTTTCGAAAAAAGAAAAATCAGAACGAAGAATTAATATTTTATCGAAATTAAAAATTCAGTTAATTTATTTGTAAATTTGATACTAAAATTATAGAAAAAGAATTATAATAAAAAGAAAAAAAAATGTTGGATATTATATTTTTGTTTTTGTTTCAGAAAGCATTTTTTCGGAAGTAAAAACAATAGATTTGTGTGAACTTACTATTTTCGGATTTTGATATGAGACTTTTTTTCGGTGGATCATTTAGAAAAATATTCATCTATATAAATTACTGTGGAGTGTGACTTTCTTGACGCTAACGTGATTATCAATTGTGAGCCGTTACAAACTGAACGTGATTTGATACGTGACCTGTGGATTTAAGAGTTCGTATCAATAATTTAAGAGTCTCAATTGAGAACAAGACTCGGTAAATTACTATGAATCTAATCTAATTGTGATAAGCAGTAATTACCTTGACACCGATCAGAAAAATCCAATTAAATCAAGTTTCGAAAATTTTCCAAACTTTCATTATGGGATTTTTCTATTTACCAAACTTTGGACGTTAGAGAATATTTTTTTTAAATTAAATACGAAAATTCATACCATGAACACTATATTATTTTTGTTTAATGTATTTTTATATAAGTTTATTAAATTTACATAAATAAACAATTTTTTTGTATAACCATAATAATTTTATATAATGCATATTGTGCCGAAAGATTATACAAAAGATTTTCTTTGAGTTTTTCACGTTCAAAGGAGTGGAATTTTTTGTTTGTTTCAATATAATTAATTACAGAAAATTATTCTACTGAAATGGAAAATAATGTGAATTAAACAGAGAAAGTATTATTCAAAGAGATAAAAAAAATAAAAAAAGTTTTCCATACTTACTATATTATAAAAAAATTCCTTTTGTAAAAAAAATGTTTGTTTATTAAAAAAAGTTAAGAATAAAGTTTTTAAATAAAAATAATTCTTTTTACAAAAGGAATTAAAATTAAATTAATAAATTACAAAATTTGCATTTAATTCAATTTTTTATTTATTTTTCTATTTATTTTGTAATTAAATTAATTTTCATTTAAGGTCCTGATGGACCACAAGGGTTTTGTAAATAAATAAAATAGGTACAAATTAGAATAGTGTAGAAACAATGTCTTTTATTTGAACGTTCGAAACTTTAGGAAATATTAATAAATTATACAAAAGAAAAAACAACAATTCATCTATTATAATATATTAATAAATGCTAATAATTTTTGAGAAAAAAATTTACACACATTCTGGACAATATTCTTTTTCAACTGACGCGCGTCACGCGCTAAATACAAAATACTTTCCCACATTGGAATGTATTATCACTTTCCGTTGGACGATTCATCGTTTACATGGCGAATTTAATTGCCTGCTAATGCGAACGCTAATAACTTCTTACCAGTTGCAGTTACATTTTTTCTGTTTTTTGTTTCTTTACTTCTATTCTTCTTTTTTGTGCAAAGTGCGTGTGTATGAATATATATAGCTCTTGTAACAATTTGCACGCGAAAGGGCGTGGTCATAAAGCTCAAGTCAAATAGTTAAATATTGCCTTCTCGTCCTTTTTTACCCTTTGACAAAAAAAAAAAAAAAAAATAAGGAAAGAAAAAAAATACCATAAGGCTATTCACGAGCAAATTTTCATTCAAGGAACGACATCCCCTTTTTGCCGTTACAAATAATTGGATTTCATCCTTGGAAAACAATTTTGCTTGAGAATGAAGTTTTTTAGTTGATTTTAATTATTTTAATTATAATTATTTTATTTTTAAATTATAATTATTTTAAATTCGATAATTTATCGTAAAATATTTATTTTTGTAGTATTTTTTAATTAATTTATTATTTTATTATAATTTTTATTAGTTTGTTGTATTTTTTCTAACTTAATATTATTTTTTGTTACTTTATTGTATTTTTTATTATTTTACTCTTTTTTTATTACTTTTATTGTATTTTTGTTACTTTTACTGTATTTTTTTACTCTATTTTTATTCTTTCATTAAGATTTTTTATTTTACTGTATTTTTTGTTACTTTATTTTGCTTGAGAATTTTAGAATTTAGAATTTTTTTAGAATTTAATTTTAAAATTATTTTAGATTCGATAATTTTATCGTAAAATATTTATTTTTGTATCTATTTCTTATTATTTCTTTAAAATTTTTATTAGTTTGTTATATTTTTTCTTACTTTATTGGTATTCTTTATTACTTTATTATTTCATTCTATTTTTTCATTAATTTATTGTATTTTTTATTATTTTATTGTATTTTTTAAAAAATATTTTACACTATTTTTTATTCTTTTGTAAGATTTTTTATAATTATTTTTTTTGTTACTTTATTTGCTCTATAATTTGTTTTTAGTTGGCGAATTTATTTGAAATTTAATAATTTTATCGCAAAATATTTACTCTTCTATTATTTTGTTAAGTTTTCTATTTAGTTGTATTTTTCATCATTTTATTACATTTTTTTATTGTTTTATTATATTTTTTTGTTACTTTATTGTATTTTTTATTCTTTTATTATTTGTATAACCTTAATATTCGTTTAGATAATTTTAATATTTGTTTTTTGAATTTATTATCTTTTTTCTTTTATTATTTTCCTGTATTATTATTTATTTTTATAATTTTATTGACTTTGTTATTTATTTTACTACCGAATTTGAATTTTTCGGCAATTGAATTTAATCTGAATTTAAAATAAATTTCTTTCACTGACAATCCCATTTTTTTTTCTTCGGTTCATGTATTTGAAATGAAAAGTGAATTTAGTTTTTCTTGGGATCAATTGACTTTGGAAATATTCCGAATCGAGGGCAATAAGGATTTTATTATTATTTTTTTTTAAAATATAAATATAAGTTAGGAAGAGGGGAAAAATGATATAGCGCCGCAAAGGAGGGATCGATGCGCCCCACGTTTGTTTGCCTCGTTTCTAACTTAGTTCTTTTTAAAAAAAAAATATATATTTGCAATATGCTTTCAATAGAAAAAAAGTTCTTCAAAGAGAGACCAAGACGTCTGTTGCCTATGGCTGTCGTTTCACTTTAAAAGTTATTTCCGGAGATGAAATTTTTTTCCTCCCTTTAAAATGTAAATTTCAATATAGCCCAGAGTCCTTCGATATCCAACTAGATAAAAAATTTTCGCAATATTTAATATAATTCCTTTTTTTTTGCATAAATTTATCAAATATAAAAATTGTTCCTCAATTATTGAAAAATATTTTATCTCCTAAAATAATGAAAACAAAAATTCGTAAAAGAACTCTTTTACGAATTTTTGTTTCCATTTTTTCAAATTTGTTATTTTATTCGTTCAGAAAAAATTTCTTTTGTTCCCTTTACGTTTTTTTTCGAGAAGGGAAAATGTTTTTTTTTGTTCGTTCAAAAATAAATTATTTATTGTTACCGTCAGCTCTCGATAAATTGAATTTTCTAGTTTCTTGATTGAGATTCAATTTATCGAGAATCGACTGTTATTTATCATAATTTTGAATTGTCACTTACGTTCTGATTGTATTTTTCAGCGAGGGCCGAGAAAAAGTACGAGTTTCATTATTGGGAACACAGCCCTCACCTGCAACGCCTGGAGTCCTTTTGCTGGATCCAATTGGCCCTTCAACAGGACACCTGATTGATATCATGGCCGCAAGTCCTGTGGAACTTTTAACAACACACACCGAACACACCACCCCCACTTATCACACACAAATCAGGTAAATTGATTCTTCCCATAAATCTCTCCTCTGCAACACTCTCGGCTAAATGGAAAACGTCTAATAAATTTTCCAAAACAATTTCGTAATGCTCGAAATGAAAATTAGTTTCGTTCATAAAATTCGAGTCTGAATTATTAGGTTGATTCCTTCAGTGTTTAAATTCTGCTCCGAATCAGTTTCCGCCAAGCTAAAAAAGAAATGTGTCGAAAAAATTAATTTTTACAAAAAGAGAGAGTAACAATTAAAAAATCAATTTTTCTACGAGTTTAAAAAAAATGTTCGGAAAAATTAATTTTCCCTTCTCGAAAACAGTGACGAATTCTTTTTGCAAGAAATTTTCCCACTAAATATATTTTCTCCGAGTTAAAAAAAAAAATTTTTCCCTTCTCGAAAAAGGAGACGAATTTTTTTTCTTCAAAAAATTGAAGAATTAAAAACATTTTTTGAAAATATCAAACAAATTTTATGTTTTAAGTATTTTTGTACATTATGAATTTTTTTCTCCAGAGCTTTTTAAAGAATTTCACTTGAGATTTTCACGCGCGTTCGACTTGTCGGTCTTTCAAGCATTCGCCATCAATTAAAGTCACACTTCAACTTTAACACTACTGAATTTACGATCTCTAAAGTGTCAATTAAAATTTGTGAATCCAAACTCTTCTAAAGGTCTATATATATTTAAAATTATTATTCTCTCTTCGAAAATGATGAGTCAATTATCGAATGAAGGAGAAATTGTCCCTAATATATTCAACCCCAGGTTGAATTTTTTTTTTCGTTTTTTTAATTGACCGGAAGACCAATTCTCCTTCTCTCTAATTTTTTCTTCACTTGGTAAATTTATCCGATTTGTCAAAAATTTCTCTTCTTGGTCAAATATGACACCTGACGAATAAAAAATTCCCCCTTTTTTAGAAAACAATATAGGAGTTTTATTCTTGGCAATGAATTCTCATTTCGTGATGTGAAACAATTTCGAGAAAAATATATAGTGTAATATATTTGATTCCTTGTGTGAAAGTATTTTATTTTAAGTGAAAGTTGAGCTTGTTAGAAAAATAATGATAATGAAAATAATAATAAAAATAATAAAAAAAAGTCATTCAGAAAAATTATGTATTTTTTTCTACTATTTTCCATAATTTAAATAAATATTCGGTTGAAAAAAAGGAAAGAGAATGAAATAGGAAATAGAAAAAAGGAAAATAGGAAAATTTTGACATTAATGGTAGAATTCGATAAATAAATAAGTGTATAATAAAAAAGTCATAAAATGGAAAATATTTGGTTAGAGAAAAATGAAAGGAAATAAAATAGAAAAGAGAATAAAATAACAATAGGAAAAAATGGAAAACGCAATAAAATAGGAATGGGAAAAATAGGAAAGAGAATTAAATGAAAATAGGGGAAAAAATATAGAAAATAGTAAAAAATAGAAAATAGAATAAAATAAAAATAGTAAAAAACGGAAAATAGAATAAAATAAAAATAGGAAAGAGAATTAAATGAAAATAGAATAAAATTGGACGAAATATTCTCATAAAAGAATAATTTTACTCAACCGTTTCTGAATATTTTAATGTCACTTGAAATTTTGTTTTAGGAATTTATACATTTTTCTGCTTCTCTCTCTCTCCCCAGACGCAAACACAGTGTTGCGATTGAAATGCATGGACGGAAAATGCGGTAATGAATTTTGCAATAGAATAGACCTTGAATTAATAATACCGCTTACGTGGAACTCGAAGAGTATTTTGGTTAGTAGAAAATTGTGTGTGATGTGGAAGAAATAACAGGAGTTGGTATAGCGCATCGACTCACGATGGAAGAGTGTTAAAAGGAAGAGGAAGCATTCTGATGTTGAGCAATCGATTGACTTTTGAAAGTTACAAAAAAAGACGTTCTATCGCAACCTATTAATTTTCTAGATCTGCAAAAAAACTTTCGTTAGCGGGAATTTAATTTTATCTTAACCGTTCATAGTTCCCAGGAACAAAAACAGAACTTCTAAGAGAGAAGGTTAACAATTTTACAACAAAGATCAACGGATATTGTTTTTAGAGTCTTTCTTTGATTTATCTCCTTGTAGTTTTTGTCTTTTTTTTGCCATTTCTCGCGAGGATAATTTTGGTTCTTTGTTTTTATTTCAAAAAATATTTTTTTTAATTAACATTCAAATAATTAAAATATTATTAGTAATAGTTTTTTCTAGAAAAACAAAAATTTTAATACAATACTTTCTTTTTAAATAACTTAATTCTTGAAGAACTATCATAAAAGTATAACTTAGAAATTATTTAATGAATAATTTTATTTATACATTTCAAAATTAATTGAATTTTAATATAGTTTCGTTTACAATTTTCATAAATAGAAGAATTTATTTGAAAAGATTTTAATTTCAAATTTTATAAAATTTCAACTTTAAATGAATTTCATTAGAAATTCTAAAGAACTTAAATTTTTGCAAAAATTTTCAAAATTTAAATTATTCTGAAATTAGTTAAATTTTTTAATATATGTATTTAATAAATTATTGAAAATAAAGAAATTAACGAGGAATTTTTGTTTAAAACACTAAAAAAAATTTGAATTTTGGAGAAGTTTCAAATGATTGCAAAAATTCAATTATTTTCAAAAGTAATAAAATTCTTCGCAGAAATTCAATTATATTCATAATATTCCATTATTTGTAATTCCTAAATTCAATGATATTCAATATCTACTATTTTAATAAAATTTTCCAAAAGAATTCAATTATTAAAAAAAAAAATTTTTTATTAAAATACGCAAACGTATAATTATTTTCATATAAAATAATTTCACAGGAATTCTATTACTTACAATTTTTTTATAAATTTCTTCGCAATAATTCCATTATTTTCATAAAAAATCAAATTCATCGCAGAATTTCAATTATTTTTAGTACAATTTTAATGGAATACCTCGAAAAATGTAATTATTTTTAAAAAAAATTTTATTGAAATTCGTCGAAAGAATTTAATTATATAAAAATTTGTTGATAACATTCTTTATGAGAATGTAATATTAAGAAACATTCGATTATTCAATATAAATTATTTATTTTTGTATTTAAATAATTGAATTCTTGCAAAATTTTCTATTAAAAATTGATTTAAAAGTGAATTTCAGTTAAAATTTTACATAATAAAAAATTCTTTGAAAATCTGAATTATTCATATTTTTAACTAGCAATTCTGTAGAATAAATTCTTTTTAAAAAGTTTCATTTCAAAAAAATTATTATAAATAATTCATTTAATGAAGAATTTTAGTTAAAAATTCTAGAAAATAATAGTTGAATTGAAATGATGAAAATAATTTTGAAGAAGTTGCAGTAAAAATATTTCTTAAAGAAGAAAATAATGATCTTATCACTCGGTCATCTTTAATTATTATAAAACATGAATGATCGCTTTCTTCATGTTTTATAATAATATTCTCATAAATTGTTGAATTTCAAAAATATTTGAATTTGAATGTTTTGAAAATCTTAATTCTCATGGAAAAATAATAATGTTTAAATATTTTTTTGAAAATGAAGTGATTGCTGTTTTAAAATAATTTTACAGAAGAAATTCGTAAATAAATGAAATAGAACATTTTTTTTTTTGAGTACCTAATCATTTTTAGAGTGAATCGCAGAATATTATTTAGGGCAAAAGTCAAAATTTTGTTTGGAAATCAGGGAAAAACAAAATTAAATTTTTGTGGTAACTCTGATTAAGAACGAATCATTTTTAAAAAATTTTATAGAAGCTATATGATGAAAAATTTGAATTATATTTGCAAGTTAAAAAAATTAATTTTTGTCCCCTTTTTGAGGAAAAAACTTCCCGTTTTCATCTTTTTTTGAGGAAAAAAGGTACTGTGATGCCTGAATACTTTAAATCCAAAATATATTTTATATATTTTTTAATATATTTTATATATTTTTTAATATATTTTCTTTCGTATTTTTTATCTGAGGTGATAATTGCGAGATCTATTGATGTTTTTTTTCCTTGTATTTTAGATTCCATTTCGATGAAGTAAATACCTTGGGAGAATTTAGGAGCAACATTTTGTGAATTTAGAGGCAGAGACTTGGAATTTTGTCAAATCGGACTATTCGAATACCTATTTCTCACATCATCAGGCATGTTCCTGCTTTTTTTTTATCTCCACTCGTGGAGAATATTTATTCTCGACGGGGGAAAATCGTGGAAATCAGGAGCACCATTCATCTCTTCGATACCGCGGTTCACAAATTTTCCACTGGCTTTGCTTTCAGGGACGGCATTTCCTTTTCACTCTCATCGAAAATAGTTATATTTGAGAATAACTGGCAATTTTTCTCTCTCCCAATTTCCCTCGTTATTTGGGGAAGAAAATAATTGTAGATTTTGGTCAAAAAAGGGAATTTTGCCTTCTTGGTACATTTCTGTTCTTTTCTTCTTCTTCTTCTTCTTTTTCACAATTCTGTATTTTTCGAATTTTTCCTTTTTTCGCTGAAAAATGACTTTTTTGCGAAAATTTAACAAAAATTGCTCCAAAATATGATTTGAGATTATCTTTCGAGACAAAAAAGGAAAGTGCGAGTCTGAAACTCAAGGGGAGGGGGATCGAACAGTGTCAAATTAGAGACATTAAAGAAAGGGTTAAAAAAGAAATATGTTTCGACTTTTGATGTCGTCACGGAACCGTCACGTATTGTGTGTACGTTCCTGGTGGGGAAGATCGATATAGCGTGGGTGGACGCGCAGAGTCGCTGGTGAAACACGGCAGCCGAGCAGTTGTGCTGTCGGCTGCACCGTGAACGCATATTATCGAGGCCCCCCTTCGACTTGCGTTTCGCAAACTTCCGGTTTTGTCCCACGGAAAAACCTATTTTTACATTTCCCGTCGCCTCGGAAAAATAATGTTAAATCTCTCGGGGATTTTTTTCGAGTTGAGAAAATAAAAAAATTCTCTAGTGCCAAATTTTAATGTCTCTTG